GCGATTAGTGAATCACTTTATATCTACTATCATTATAGTATTTTATTTTATCATGGACGTAAAATGCATTTGATATTATCGCGATACTATCAAACGTTTTAATGGCGCGATGCATGGGAGTCATATTCGATGTACACAATGATATTATTTAATTTCGTTAATTAAAACATGATTCGACACTTCGAATGACGCGGAATACGAATTCGCACGGAATATATGCATATTTCATTTATTTACGTGGATTTGCAGCCCACCAGGATTGTTTACAAAATCTCGTAAGCCCTCACTCTAGACGATCTACAATTCGTATCAGAAATCAGGATTCCATTAAAAATTTTACGGAAAAATATTTGAAGAAACGGAAGTAAACGCACGTCATATAAAATATGCATTGCGATGCGTGCACGTGTAACAGAATACAGTGCGTTTAAAATTATAAATAAAATTCTACCTCAAAATCTGACCCCGAGATATAGCTTGTTGAAAAAGTGAGCAATTATTTTATTTCGCGTGACACAACACATTTATACTTCTCGTAATTACATACACACACACGCACACACACACACACACACACACACACACACACACACACACACACACACACACACACACATATATATATATATATACATAATTATAAAAGGTAGAACTCAGATATGGATGAGTAGTACCCGCAGTTGTACGACAATCGACATTTTGTGATTAGAGTCCTCTGTAATCTCGCGGGATACACGAAAGCCGAAATGAAACGAAATGACAAGGGTGTTTTTTATGAAATGCACTTTGACGGATAATGAAATACGCACCTGCACAGACTCGATCTCCCGCAGCCGCGTAATATAAATAAATGAATAAAATCCTCGCGTAATCCGTATCAGATTGTATCGTAACAGGAGGCTACATCCCGGTTTGAAATATTGATCTGGTCGAATTGCGGTGTTCTATCAAAATACATTAAAAGGCGATCCCTTCCTCTTCCCTCCCCTCCCCCCCTCTCTCTCTCATTGAGAGAGATATATATATTGGACATAATGTCATTGCAATATACTTTCGGTCTGCTCTCAAAATATCCAGTGACAAAAGTAAAATAATCCCGTCCGAAAGTAAAGACCTGTTCTTTGTCACTGCACTGGTCACATTATGGAACTGTTCGGAATGGATTCCGATCGGAAATTATTTCGTTTTTCCTAGAAAATAAAATAGAAATCTGTAAAGAATGATTGAATAATTCCGATTGGAATCCATTCCGAACAATTCTATAATACATGCTCTGCAGTAATATTAAATTGCTTGTCAGTTAAATTTGTGATATTACAGACTCCAGCTTTTAGAGGACTGTATTTCAAGACCAGCAAATAATTGACGCGCAGTTTGCTTAAACTAGAAATTTTAAAAATTTATACAAAATATTGTTATACTCTGAAAAATATCGGTGGATTTAACACCATGCAGTGTTTATAATTTTTATATTAACATCAATATGATGTGGCTTTATAATATATTCTTAGTCTTTGTATCAATACCATTATGATGTGCACTCAAAACCCCCATGATGTTAAATTCACATCATGTTGCTGTTAGTATTAACACCAACAGGTGAGAATAATAGACGCCACATCCCAACCAGCAGACAATGTTTTTTAAATACAATATTTATTTAATGTAAAAAAATTTAATAAATATCTAAAAAATATTTTGTAAATATTATGTGCTGATTGGAATAGTATTAAATTGACACAGATATTTTTTTAAGTGCCGCAAGATTCGTTTTGAATATGACTCTCTTCACTCATTTGTGATATATAATATATATATATATATATATATATATATATATTTCATTTCATTTCTTAAGTATAATAAATTTAGTCACAAAGAATAAACCTAAGGATGTGCGTTATATTGGTATGAAATTTTTTTCTGCGTGCATGAATATGTTCCTCATTAAAACTAGATGTAAAACTAATTGTCTTACAAAAATAAAAAGTTAGTTTTTGACATAAATTGAATTTTTAAGAAAATATTGCTTTATTGAACGCAAAGTTTTAACTATGCGCCATTTCATATAAGAATTATTTGTGTAAATTATGTGAATTTCTCTTCTTTAAATCAATGTACGAAAATTAAACAATTCTATGCGAAATAATGATGGAACTATTTGCGCATTATCGACAGGCAGAGAAATTTCTCTCTTTACATACAATTTAATTGATATTTTCATATATTTGTGATTTCTGTGGTTGCCAATTGCCGATTTTACTCCCATTAATATAGATAATAACGCGTGTTGTTTATCACACTCGATTATTTATTATTTCAGCTATTTATTACTTTGTAATAATCTGGTTATTTGTACGATCCAATATTTATTAGAATCGAAAATTTTTACTTTGATATTAATTAATTTATTCATGTTTAAATGCGATATTTGATATAAATTATTGGATGGCCGTAAATACGGCATCAAAGTTGAATTCAATCGTATCAAAATCCTATTTACAATCCTATGAAAATCGGAATATTTAGCAATTCTACATATTGATATTGAACACACAATTTATGTCACGTCGATCACATAGTACTATTTCGATATTTTAATTAAATAAACGTTCCGTAATTTTCTGAAAATACGCATTTACACGTATTCAAAAGATTTAAAGCATCCAGTTAGAAAAAAATGAAAAATTTTATTCTAACCAATCGCGCTTGCAATCCGCTAGCGGAGCCATTCTTTTGCGCAAAAATGTTATTGGAAAGCTTACTCTCAGTGAAAGCCGCTAGCTTTGCAGTTGTATCTAACTGAAATTGGTAGTCCTCGATTTTTGCGAAATTGTTTCAATTTTGTAAAATCCTTTCTGCGCTTATATTCACACTCGATTAATGCATATTTCAATTTATGTGAACCTAATTTATTTTTTAAGCTTTGTCAGCCACACTTTATTAATGTTATCACACAACAATGTTATGTTATATAGAGAATTATGAAAATTTTATTATCAACATATAAATCGATAAGTGCAACAGATATAATTTTTTTTACGTGTTCATTTTGTCAAAGCTCTATCGGCGTCGTCTAATATAACATAGGAGACGTTCGGCGAAGCTTGTATGAGAAGATAGAACACGTTGGCCGTCTCGTGTGAGTAGCCTTGTATATTGGAGATGAAAAATTCATGGGGCTCGATGCAACGTCCAATCTTAGGTATTTATTTCATGTAAGATACACGAGCGCCCGTATTTTCTTCTCTCGCGGAACACGATGTCGCATAATAACGATGACGCTTAATTCTTTCGTGTTTCTGGTGTGAAAGCGCGTGTAAGACAAATAAATTTACATAAACAATCTAATCCATCCTTTTAAAAATTACAATTTAATTAATTTACACCTAAAAGTTTATATCAGTTTAAAATTCACAAGACAAATTTTTTTACATCAATAATCATTTTACATAATCTATATATTTTTCAAATAAAAACTTCACTTTAATTAATTTGCATGCAAATTTATATCTCTTTCAAATTAATTTAGCTTTTATTTAATTTTCATCTTATCGGTATTAAACTATGAAAAAGTTATATGTGAAATTGAATTGATCGAAAAAAAGATATTTCTGAACATAATTTGCATTCGCATTTTTCTACATCCCCGGTATAAAATCAAAACTCACAGAAGTTAAAAAGTAAGAAAAAATAAAAAATTCAATTTACAACGCATTGTTTAATTAAAAAAAAATTATTAAATAATGTCATTAGAATCATGGTCGGTTGAAGAGTTAGACTCTATTTTTAGCTGGCTGTGTCAGTAACTCGATGAGATACTATGTAGAATTAACAACATAGAGTACATACAGATTGGAAGCGATATCTGGAGGAGTATCGATTATCACACCAGCACAAATTGGGAGATAATTGGCTGTGTCAGCTTGCGCGCACCGGTCTGGTTTCCCGACTGGACAATATCACACAACGGGAATTTAATAAAGCTCCGACTTGGACACTGCGTAGGACGTGGCTGAAAGGAATGGACGTGGAGCGTGTCTAGCATGCACAGAACCCTCTTTCCTTCGTTTTTGCCCTATCACCCAACCGTTGCATTCAGCTTTTCTTTCTCCCGCGACTCTTTCTTTCTCTTTTTCTCGATTCTCTTTATATTTTGTCGTGAATGAAGTCTATTTCCAAACTTTATTTTCAAAGTGATAGTTATCAAATGGCACTACAATGGATTCCTCTTTTCTTACTTTATTCATAAATTATGTTTAAAAGAATTGTATAACAATTTTTCTTCTATTTCTTTGTATTTTATATCAATTCAACTACTTAAATAAGCAATAAAATTATATCTTCTCATATTTTTGACAACTGTTTAAAAAATTCTAAAATTTATACGAAATTTTTTCTATTAAATTTATATCATTATTTGTATATAAGTACTTGTTATTAAATTTACTTATCTGTTTTTTATTGTATTTAATTAGAACTTTTTAAAATATATATATAGAAAGAATATCGAGTTACATTTTGCATCGTGCATCTGTCTAAATTTTGTTATTAAAAATGCATTAGTTTGTTTTATATATGCAGTTTTATTATAAATAGAAATATATATTGTAATTTAAAAAAATAATATAAAGAAATTACCTCCCAATTTGTACCGGCATAGCAATATAGGTTATATTTCTACAAATATATTTCTTTCACTAAAAATGATATAATTATTTTTCGAATATCTGCTGAAGTGAATAAAATTCTATTCTATTTTATAACTACATTTGAAAAGAATTTATGAAATATTATAAGAAATATCAAGGATGAGAAAAAAACATAATTCATCAATTTTAATTTAGGAATAATTATTGCTTCATGAATATTAAACATTTTTTTAAATATTGAATCTTATCTACTTGCACCAGTTGTTTAGTTGAAAAAGATCATACCCTAAAATTGACAGCTGTTGGATAGACTGAGACCGTATATCTCTTTCTCTCTCGCAGAATTTCGCTAAAATACGACGTCATCTCTCGTATGGCGCCACTTTGATTACAGGCTCTCTAATGTCAGCGACAGATAAATTCGTTCGAACTTACAATTAGATTTTCATTTATTCTTTATAACGATTTGCAATTAGTGTGCTTGTGAGGTTAGGGTGTGTTTATTTTGATCAAATGGCAGATAAATATTTTAGTGCTCAGGAATATACTGACATGATCATCATATATGGTGAAGCCGGAGAAGACGCTGTTGAAGCCGCTAATCTGTACGCAGAACGATTTCCTGGACGCAAGATATTTCCTGATGCTAACGTTATCTTAAGTTGTGTTCGACGTGCGCGAGAAACAGGATGCGTGTTGCAGATTGAAACTGAACCTGAACAGTAGTTGGCGCATTTTCAGAGTTGTAGGTTAAACATGCATGAATTCTATATTCGCGTGCACTAAGGTGATTCTTCGTGTATATTTCTTGTGAACTCATACAATTTCCAGTTCAAGTAAATTGCACTGCGATTATTTGTCGATCTTGAAATACATTCTCAAACCGAAGTTGGAGTAGTAATATCACAAATTAAATTGACAAGCAATTTATTCTTAGAAAACTGTTTTAAGATTTTATGCTTATTAGTATCAAATTATTAATTGTTAATTTATATATGATTGATTTTCGCTATTCTGATCTCTATGTTTATTATTTATTTGCTTGAAATTGTTAAATTATTTATTGATTTATTCAAATAGAACAACTTAACTGAAGTAGCTCTGCAGACACTGATAGTGTCTCGGTAAATACTAATTATATTGATTCAAGCATATAAAAAGTTATCTCGTTTTACTTAGAGTTTCTTACTTAACTTTAGAGTTTCAGCTTAGAATCATTTAGATGACCCTGCACACTACATCTATTGCGAGCTTATATGATGAACTCTTTGAAGCTTCGTTTGCTGGCCTTGGTTTGTTTTCGATAGAGTCTTATTTTATGAATTTAAATATCAATTTAAATATTCGTTCAGATTTAAATGTTTGTTACAAATTTATACTTACATATTCAATTTTGTAAACTATATATTGAAATCTTTTTTAGTTTTGAAATGTACTTATGCACAGAATTAAAGTAGTAGTATCACATACTAAATCAACATGCAATTTAACAATTTGATGCTAATAAGCATATAGTAAAAATATTAACTATTTGATGTAAGAATCTTAAAAACTATTAAACTTTTGTGAAAAATATTACCTCAACTAGGATCTACTTTTATCGACAATAGGATTTAAAATTATATTTATTTTCATTGGTCCTATCCTTTAGAATTATAATTCTTGCATGAAATTTTATATTAACTTAATTTTACTTTTATACTAATTTATTATTTTACTCTACAAGGTAGTGACGAAATGATAAATTTTAGGTACATGGTGCACCTAATATTGTTGGCCAAGATAAGGCAAACCTCAACATTGTTCTCCACTTGATGATTCTAAAGTTCATAAGTTGAGCAATCAAGATCATCGAACAGGCTGCTTACGATTACTATTAAGGAAGCAAAATATCTAATCGACGATGGCATTGTAAAGTGCAGCGAGTATACCAATGAAATATTTATATGAAAGTTGTTACATAAGTTAAATAAAAAGCAGACAATTTTGTTAATCGAAATTTAAGCTGCCAAATACTAATTCATGCATCCGCAATGAAGGAACCACTATTATCTACCATTTGCTATATCTCGTACAGTTTCGTGTATGTGTTTTCATGCGATTAGAAATTTATAATTGGAATCGACGGAATGCAAGTATTGTTGAGTAATGTTTCAGTCACTTACAGGTATAGATTTTCCCTTAGTATTATCTCGATTAGATGCGATTTGACTCAATTTCAAGATTTGTCAAATATGTGGAATGGCATTTAATTTTTTTTCGTCCAAACATACAATATGTACACCATTGACTTCTATTGACTTCATTAATCATATACGCTTCTACATGTAACCAATATAATGCATCGTTTATTCAGAGAAAAGATCTTGATACAGATTGTAAAAATTAGCCATGTAAATTGAGTATTAGAAATGCTGTATCAGTTTTAAATAAAATTGTTATGTGAGACGTATATATACTTTTCCATTAAGTAAGAATAGTTGAAAAATAAAAGTTTATGAAATTTTAACACCTATTTTATTTTATATTGCAAATTATTTCGATCCTTATAAAACCAAACATTCTTAATAATTTATCGTTAGAATTTTGAGAATTTGAAAATTATTTTTAACGTTCTCTTTTAGTTATAACAAATTTTTTTCTGTAAATAATATTTGCATAAATTTATAGTTAAAAAATTTACAATAGTTAAAAATTTAAAATATTTAATAAAAAAAATGTCACAAAATGTAAAAAATATGACAATAAATCCATGGTCATGCATAATAATTTGTAAAATAAATGTTATACGCATTTTACAATAAGCCATTAATCATAAATCAGAAATTAGAAGCTGGAAATTGACCAATCACAGTTGTCAATTTCCAACTTCTTTAAGGCCACTTAAGGCAACTTCTTTAGGCCATTAAGACGAAGAATACAGACTCTTACATAACGCATAACACATAATGCATAAGAAAATGAACCAGTCAAAGTCCTTTATTTTTTTCTTTTCCATAAAGGATTTTGATTGATTTTCTTATGCTTCATGTTTTATGCGTTATGCGAGAGTCTATGCTCTCCGCTTAATGAGCCGTGAGGTAAATCTGATAATCCACGCATGTGATTGGATAATCTTACTACTAATCCAACAGGTAAAATTTATCAAAAGATGGAACAATCGGCCCTTAAGGATACTGTCAACGCGATGCTGCCAACGCGATGCTGCCAACGCTTTGAAGCGTTTTTTAATTGGTCAGTTTGTAAAATTCTTTCTTCTAATTGGTCCATCAAATGTTTATTTAATTTTTTTAGATTATTTGTTTTTTTGTAAGGTGTGCTAACCAAAGATCATTATAAGATTACTTATAAGACTGTCTTCTGACCGACTATCTTAAGATGGTGTGCCAATCAAAGACCATTATAAGACATTACTTAAGACTGTCTTCTGACCGACTATAAATATTGATCATTGTCTAAAAAAAGTTATTTATAATAGTAAATAATTATATCAATAAAATAATAATTTATTTATTTGTAAATACTCAATAGTAATACTCAATAGTAATAGAATATTATTTTGCTTGTTGTGATATTCACTGCCAATAGTCATCTATGCCAATAGTTATCAGCAGTAATAGCAGTGAACATGGGAACAAAGCCAATGTAAACTTAATCGAAATAAATAATTACAGAATATTTACACACTGAATGACTTAATATAGTTTTATCTCAATTCTATTGACTCGTTGAGCGAGCGATTTCTCTCAGATGCATACTGATTGTACAGTATGAGACCTACAGTTTAATATCAATTCCGAACGACGAAATTTTATTAGAGAAGTGCTCTTGGCAAGGATACTCTCCAGTGGTTTTTTGTCATTGCCTGTCGAGAGGAGCTATGAGCGCGAAAAAATTTTTCGACTCTGCTTGGGATCGAATCCGAGATCTCTGCTGGCATAGCAGTCTTGCTACGCTATGCTCGCATTCGACTATGATATAGTTTAGGAACTTGTAAATACTAAATACTTGTATATCTTGTATATAACAATATAGTGGTATTTTAAGATTAATAATTTAATGCTAATAAATATCTTAAAAAATAAAGGCAAATTTTTTTAATTCTTTGAGTAATTGCATTATGCGCAAATGCAGCTTTTACAAGACAAAGTTGCATTTGTGCATAATTAACATAATGCAATTGATTAATCGATAAATTAAAAAACGCCTTAATTTTATTGCGAAAAATATTGCCTCACCCGGGATTCGAATACAGATAGATGAATATTACCGACAGGTATTGATTATTAGTTCCATTTGGTCGTCTCTGAGTTAGCGAGGGCGTCACAAACGCTATCCCTTTTCACTATACGCTTCTTATCTTGTTACGACATCGAACAATACATATGTTTATTGAGAATTGTTGAAAATTGAGACATATGTTCGTTCCTCGTGATTCGTTCTTCTTGAAGAAATGTTTAACATACGAGTGAAATTTCAACAGCCGCTTCTATTTTATTCTTTTTCTTCGTATTGATTATTGCTAAATGTTTATTTCATATAGCGATGTGACTCGAATATAATAAATAAAAACAGCGAGAAAATCATGGCACCTAACCAACGTCAACGACAGCTCGTTTTGTCAAAGAAAGAATTGAAAAAGATTAATGGAAGAAGATTCTCAAAGTACATAAAATATTTTTTTCTTTCTTCAGATTTTATAAATTGTTATACGAAATACTTATCATCTGGGATCGAATTATTTCACCTGTCAATTGTTTATTGTTGAAATAGAAATAAATCTACAAACAGCTATAAATATGTCCCCGTTATACTTCAGTCATATATATATACACACACACACACACACACACACACACACACACACACACACACACACACACACACACACACACACACAACACACACACACATTTTTATATTAATGACAAAATATCTGATGTAAATCTCGAAAGAGAAAAAAGCTTATTCTGTAGCATATTGAAATTGCAAAAGACATGTGTTACAAATAATCATTTAATTGATCATTTAATTTTCACGACTTAATATATATGAAATGTTTAAAAAAGAAATCTTTCAGAATTTCATATTTTAACTTGCCTCTTATTGTAACAATTGTATCTTACAGTTGCTAAGAATATGGATATGCATTTTCATTGTTATTTTTCTATTATAATTTTACTGTTATTTTCTAATTGTATCTTGCAAACTTTATAGAAAATAATGTTCTAAAAACTGTGATCTACGCAATATGTATTGTAATATCTTAAAAGTATGAATATATATATATTAAAAAACAAAGAAATAATTAAACGATGTTTTAGGCCAGAAGAATCTTCCGATATGGGACTTGTTTATCCCTGCTATGATACTGCTTTTAAATTGCTATTATCGGCAAGATTTTGCTCTGCTGTATGGTGTCATATAACAGACTGTGATGAAACGTATAATTACTGGGAACCAGTGAGTTTATAATATAATTTAATTCAATTTTACATAAATTTAAAAATACTACAAAAATACTATACTTAGAAATGTACACATTCTTTGTTGCATCTAATATTTCTTAAAAAAATTTTAAAAAGTAGAATTATTTTTTTTATGAAGACAAATAAATCATTCCTAGAATATCTTCAGTAAGCAAAATGTTAATAGTATGCTAGCAAAATATTGCAGCAGATTAGTATCAATTATGTGTGCATAAGTTTGTATTCTGCCAATACTTTCCAATATAACAACAGAAATTGAGAAGAATCTACCATTTTGTAAATAAGGGTTTAAGGAGTTATTTAATTATAATAAGTGGTATTATTTGAATAGTTATACAACGGGTTATATAACGGATTCTATTACATTTGCGTTGGTATTCTGTCAATAAAATTTGTAGCAAGCATTTTACAAAATCTTTTCGATAGACTTGGCTATTTTGCAATGTGAACACAACAAATTTCTCTCATTCTTTGATATTTTTAATAGATATAATATACTTTGACGCAATGCATTTTGTTATATCTGCATTATGTCTTATCTTAGAGTCATTTCTTGCTCTACGGAATAGGCCAGCAAACGTGGGAGTACAGCCCTGAATATGCCTTACGTTCGTATATGTACTTATTAATTCACATGGTACCAGCAAAAGTTTATCATTATCTATTGGAACCAAATCCCGCGTTAGTTTTCTATTTTACGCGATGCTTCCTATCTGTGGGTTGTACATTATCTGAAGTATACTTTTACAAGTACGTTTTTCCCTTAAAACTAACACTTACATATTATGTAAGGATTAACACATTACTTTTTATAGCATATAATTCTGTTTTCTAGGAGTGTCTGTCGAGAATTTGGAATTCATGTGGCGAGACTTACATTTGTATTCCTTATTCTCAGTTCTGGGATGTATATTTCCAGTGCTGCGTTTTTACCATCGTCTTTTTCAATGTGGGTACAATTACAAAATGAGAAATATATTAGTTACACTCGATACATTATTTATACATTAGATATTAATATTTATCACAGGTATCTAAGTACTGTTGCTACAGCAGCTTGGTACGCTCGCCAGTATGAATTGGCTATTTTTGCTACCGCTATCTCTTCGTTACTTGGATGGCCATTCGCTGCGCTGCTCGGGTAATTTTTGTACTAACATGAACAATTTTTATATGATACATTATATTACACAGAGAAATTCATTTTCCTTACTTTACTTTTTAGGCTTCCCATCGCCGTTGAAATGTTAATACATAAACGAGATTGGATCAAATTTATAAAATGGGTCATTATATCTGCTATTGTAATTGTGATACCAATGGTATGGGTGGATTCCTTGTACTTCGGCAAACTTGTCATCGCGCCATTAAATATCATATTGTACAATATTTTCACCAGCCATGGACCTAATCTTTATGGCACTGAGCCGTTCAGTTATTACATCATCAATGGATTCTTGAATTTCAATTTCGTCTTTATTGGTGCATTATTTGCACCCTTAGGCTTAGTAAGAATAGTTCATATTCAATCTATTTAACAAAATCTCTCAAGTATCGTACACTTTCTGTGAACTATAGATTCTTCAACGAATAATTTTCTTCTAACTTGAAAGTTAGATTAAATATTGTATTTCTTTATTATTGATATTACAATTTTTAAAGCTTTTTCTTGAAATTGACGATAAAATATTATATGTCTATAAAATATTATATTATCTTTCTAAAAAAACTAGAATTATATTTAAAGTTACTTAATTTTCAATAGATAATTGTATTAAATCAACTTGAAAGTGCACGATAATTGCAATATCTTGTACAACACATGATTTATTTCAGCAGTATTTTAACTATGTTTATAGTTTTTAGCATGGCTGATCGTGCCAGCAAGGCATCGTCCAAGAGACCGTTCATGTCTTTCTTATTGGTATTCATTGGCTCCTTTATATCTATGGATTCTTGTATTCTTCGTTCAGCCGCACAAAGTACGTATAAAATACCATTGGTAATAATATTAAGAGTAAATGCA